TTTTTTTTAATGTATGGTGCAAGGTCTCAATATGTAGCTCAGACTCATCTTGATCCTCCTGTTTTCAGCCTCCCCAGCGCTGGGATTACAGGTGTGCACCACTACACCCAGTCCTGTTTGGAGTTTTAATTGTCTTCTCTACCTAGGTACCCATCTCATCTCTCTAAGCTGAGATATTTTCTGCAATTATTTCTTTTTTTTGCAATTATTTCAGTGAAGATAAGTTTTATTCCATTAATCTGTACTTCATTACCCTATTCTAGGCTGTGACTTTGGTGTACAGTGTCTGGGACTGTCTCTACTTCATACCTAGGGGGACCTTTTTGAATTTTTCATTAACTTTATAAACATCATAAACATTTTATGTAAAAGATGTATTAGGGCTGGCCAAATGGCTCAGCCTATTAAAGCACCTGCAAGCAGGCACAGGGGCCTGGGGTTTGATCCCCTGGCCTGCCATGCCAGTCCCACCCCCGCCCCCGGAGCACGCTGAAATGGCAATTGAGACCGGGTGTGGAGGTGTGCATCTGTAGTCTCAGCTCTTGGGAGGCTGTAAATAGGTGTATCAATACGAGTCCATTCTAGTAGGAGACCCTGAACACCCTGTAGACCCTTCCCTAAAAATACACACACACACACACACACACACACACACACACACACACAGATGTATTAAAAGATGTACATAAACTGCAGAACACTTCCACATAGACCTCGTCATGACATATTTTTGTCAAGATAATCATTTAATAAAGGGACATGAAAATAGAAAATTTGAATAATCTCATGTACACTAGATACATTGGCTATAATAAAAAATTAAAATTATTCTCCCAATAGAAACTCTAGTTCAGAAATATTCGCTTATGATTTCTTTCAAACACTTATGGACTAATAAAACACACAAATACTTTTTTTGGGGGGGCTACCGGGGATTTAACTCAGGATCCGGCACTTGCCAGGCAGGCTTTTATTCTACTGAGCTATCTCCCCAGCCCCAACAAATACTACTAATTTATACAGCTGTGTCCCAAAACTAGAAATAGAAAAAACATACTCCAATATATTTTATGAGCTGAAGAAACAATTGGTACCAAAACTTGACAAAATGAGGAATTCACAGGAAATAAAATCTCTTATGTAAATCTAGCTGTGAGTCACAAAAATGCCAGTTAATAATGTTCATTTATGTGTAAAAAGGTAAGCACATCCTGACCACAGTACTGCTTGTTTTGCTTCAGTGAAGAGTAGCTTAAAGTTGCAATTAAAATCAATCAGCATAATTCAATAGATTAATAGAATGAAAGTTATCTTAGCGATTAGACAAGCCTGTTGAATAAAGCAGAAATGTCACTCATAATCAAATATGAGGCTGGGAAAATGGCTCAGTGGATTAAGTGCTTCCCTGGCAAGCACAAGGGCCTGAGTTCAATACTCGGTTCTGCAAAAAATAAATAAGTAAATAAAAATAAAAATAAATAAAGGGGGCCAAGAACATGGTTCAGTGGAATGAGCACTTGCCTGGCAAGTGCAAGGGCCTGAGTTCAATCCCTGGTTCTGCCAAAAAAAAAAAAAAAAAAAAAAAAAAAAAAGAAAAAGAGAAATCAAATATGAATTCACCAGAATAAAAAGGAGCTTTCTTTCATTTGAAGAAGCACATTTTAAAATTCACATTAGCTACCATTTTTGTAGGTGAAATGAAGATGTTCAATGAGTTAAAGAAAAATATTTCTAGCACAAGTTTTCTTTCAAAATCAGGCTCTTCTTTCTTCTTGCTCGTATGAACTGTACGCTACTCCCTCCTTGAGCACTCCTCGGTTCCAAGCTATGGGGAAGGCCCCAACTGCAGTCACAGCATCACCCAAGAGTACGGAGCAAGCGCTGGGCCGAGAAGCACCAGGCGTGGTCAGGAGAATTTCTCTTTTCTCATTACTCTCTCCCCAGTCATCGGTTTTAATGGATGACGGTAGAATTGAACATTTCCTCAGTTATAAAACAAGGTGTAAAGGCTCAAGTCAACAACTTCTGACATTGCCAGTTCTGCAGATAATACGCTATTATATGGATTACTGGACTATATTGGATTACTTTGCTGAATTCACGCACCTGCAATATTTGAATGGCAATGGAATACCCATCTCTGGCAAAACTAAACAAAAAAGAGGGACATAAATGAAGGACCATTTTATAGTGAAAAAATATATATACCTGTATATACAAAATAGTTACGGTAGATCTACAGCTACTTTCTCTTAGTTCAATGAGAAGAAAGATTTGTACTAATAGTGTTTAGACAAGATATCACGTCTGCATCTTGTACTATGAATAGCTACTATGAAGACAACAATACACAATGTATTCATTATTGTAACTATCCTACTAATCTGTTTTGAAACTGTGTCACTGCTATTTCTTTCTCAATAAAATTAATTTAAAAAAAAAAAAACCTTAAGGTGTGTCCCTGCCTAGGGCTATGAAAGACACAAAGATATTTCCTGTGACAACTTCTCTTCCGCACAGTGCCAGGGGCACCAACCAATTAAATGAACCAAACATACTGATAGACATTGTACAAAAACGTAATATCCAAGTAATATAAAGATGTTTTTTTAAATTAATACGGAATATTTTCAGGATCAAAGGGATACATGATTAACATTAAAAATTGCATTTTAGGGGCTGGGGAGATGGCTCAGTGGAATAAGTGCTTCCCTGGCAAGCACAAGGGCCTGAGTTCAATCCCCGGTACTGGAAAGAGAAAAAAAAAAGCATTTTAGATTTCGGGCTCCAGACCTAAAGTCGGTAAATGTTTCCTTCTTCCTCCACTTTCACCTAATGAGCTAATGCAGTATGTCACTTACTGTACCTGGCTCGCCTCAAGTGTGTATAGAGGCCCCTCTACCTTGCAGCATGTGTGAACGCTGAAAGGGATCTGATGCTGGAGATGTACTGGCTACTTCAGCCATTTCTAATATGGTGGACATACTGACTGTGTTTACCTTTTGGCTGCTGTGAATGTTACTCACGTGACTATCTGTGTACAACTACTTGAAGATCTATTTTCACTTTTAAGATTTTATTTTGATTGAGAAAGGGTCTGCCTTCAACTAATTCTGCAGCCCAGATTGGCCTCAACCTCACGGCGACCTCCTGCCTCAGTCTCCTGAATGCTGGAACTGCAGGCATGTGCCACTATGCTCAGCTTTGCTTGCAATTATTAAGTGCATAGTCTGGAGTGAAATTTCTGAGAATGGCAACGCGACATTTAACCTGTTCAGGAACTATACTGTCTCAGTTACTCTTCTCTTGTTGCTGGGACAAATACCTGACACTCAAAATGAAGGAAGGAAAGGTTTATTTAGCTCACAGTCACTGGAGGTTTCAGTCCATACTCAGCGGGCTCCAAGGCAGAGTGGCACGTGGCAGAGGGCAACCTTTCATGGCAGCAGAAAAGAGCAACAGAACAAAGAGAAGAGCCTCAGCTCAGGCAGCCAGCTTCTCTTCCCTCCTTACACTGAAATGCAAATACCTGCTCCAGGGCAGGTGCAGCATCCACACCCATGATAATCAATCACAAACCCCAGAAGCTGACCTATGACTAGGCTTTTGGGAGACAACTGTACACAAACCATAACATGTATCATTTTACATTTTTTAAAAAATGCATTGGTACAGGGTCTCACTACAAAGCTTGGGCTTACAGTGATTCTCCTGTTTTTAGCCTCCCCAGCGCCAGGATTACAGGCATATGCCACCACACCCGGTCTCAGTGGCCAGCTCAGCATGCCTGGGGGTGGGCCGGTGCAGCATGTGATGCCAGGGATCAAACTCCGGTCCCTGCACTTGCCTAAGCAAGCCCTTATTCTGCTGAGCTATCTCACTTGCCCTCATTTTACATTTTTACTCATAAGACCCAGTTCCTCCCCATCTTCGCTGGCACCTGTTTCTTTCTTTCTTTCTTTCTTTCTTTTTTTTAACTTGTCTTATAATCCAGTGGATGTTACTTGGTTTTTAACTTTTTTTTTTTTTTTTGCGGAACCGGGGATTGAACTCAGATCCTTGCATTTGCCAGTCAAGTGCTTATCCTACTGAGCCATCTCCCCGGCCCCGAGAACTGAGCTAGGGCCAGGCCCCCGTTACTTGGTAGGTAATAGCAATTTTTTATCCTATTGAAAACTAATGGTGTCCATCTCTTATGTGCCTGCTGTCCACTTCTACTTTCTTTGAGGAAATGTCTCTTCAAGTACTTTTAACGTTTTTCATTAAATTGACTCTCTGCAGTGCAGATTTTCTGGCGTTGTAGAGCCTTCTTTTTACACGCTCTGGATATAAGACCACCATGAGACATGTGTTGCACAAGTCTTTGCTTCCACTCTACCCTCTGTCTTCCTACTTCGTTGGTAATGCAAGTGGGTCTATCACATGTTTAGCTCGGGTGAAGTCTTGCACTGTGCGATTCTGCTGACACCGCTCGTGCATCTCGTGTCACAATGAAGAAACCACTGACGCGCTCCCGCTGGCGAACATTTTCCTCTTTTGCCTTCTGAGTGTTTCACAGTTTCAGCCCTTCCATTCACAAGTACGGTCCACTCTGGCATATTTTTGTATATGATCTGAAGTGTCTAGCTGCTTTTTTGTCACAAGCATACTCTGTAGTCCCAGCACAATTTGTTGAAGAGATTGTTTTCCCTCATTTTATGACTCTGTAGAAAAATCAACTATAGTCCCACCCAGCCGCCCTCCTCCTTGTCCCTGGCTTCTTTAGCTTACTCTTGGAAGCTGGTAAGGCTCACGAGATCATAAACTCCAAACCTGAACTAAAACCTCTGTGGGAACAGCTGCCACTCCGGACCCTGAGTCGCGGTTGGGCTGGCTGTGCCTGTCCGGTCCTTCCTAGACCTCAGCGTCCTTGCTCTCCAAAGCCCGGGCCCATGGGTGCTTGCTGGGCCCGAAGCTCGCTCTGAGCCAGGAGGTGATCCCGTGAGAAGAGTAACACCTACCTGTGAACATTACCAGAAGGCGGCCTGCTCTTTCAGCTTGTCTACCAGCCCAGCAGACTCACTACTGTGTGTGGATGGGTGACTGTGTACATCCTCCTGTTGCAGGCTGCCTGAGTTAGACAGAAATAGTACAGGCAGTAAGACAAGGTCAGGCCCTCAAAGGAGATAACAAAATCCGGACACCTTACAACTGTGGGAGGGACAGATGTTCCTGCTGTGAGCCAGACCTCAAGACCAAACAGATGCTAACCTCCTTGATGACTGGCATCCAGGATTGATCACTACCCAGGCAGAATCATTGTCTGAAGGCCACCAGATAAGGTCCTGTTTTACATTCATGCCCCCTTGCTACATGACTCGCTACCCCATTTGGTCCTGGGCCTAATGAATTTTACCTGAGCAATGGTGCTTATAATCCCATTGGTTGACCATACTTTTGTCCCACCCGACATCCACCTAAGCAAGACCCCTTCTTTTCTACCTTAGCCCCACATGGTTTTGCCCTATAAAAATAACCTGAAGGAGACAGCTTCCTGGGCAACCCACTAGGGCCCTCCTTCTGTCTCTCTCTGACAGAAGCCTTCCTTTCCAATAAAGTTTTACCCTCAACCTCCGTGTGTTCCTAAAATTCATTCTTTGGCTTTAGAGAACACGAACGCATCCAGGCCAGCTCAGGAGTTTCACGGCCCTGTATCACTCCTTAGGTTTACTGCTCACAAACCGTTTCCAGCCCCGTCTTCTCAGGCTCCCTCTCGCAGCTTACACACTCCAGGATTCACCAGATTGCACTAAACTCCTGGGCTGTATGCACACAGCGAACTTCAGGGACACAGCTCACCTCGCCCTCCTGCTGTCATGCCATCTTTGCCTTGTATTTCATCGACAAAGAAAAAGAGACCTTGGTAAAAACTCTGCCAAGCTGGAATCATTTCTGCCATAACCCTTACAACTAGGGGGAGCTGCCTTTCCTTGACATAGGTGGGTATCACTTGTACAACGGAACTCGGAGCAGCACAAGTACTTGTTCTCATACACGAGGGCCTTTAGCAGTATCACGGCGGCTCTACTCATGCAGTTCTGCTTTCTAGGAAGAGGAACTGGGAGCGGAGTTAAAGAAGAGCATTTCACAGTGCAGTGTTGCGGGCAAAAGAAGCTGCTGAAGCACTAATAAAAACTGAACAAAATTTTAAAAAAAGCTGTTGAGGACTGAGGAACGCATATCTTTAGACTGATGGTGAAGGCCTCTTTAAGTGACTTTTTAAAAAATTGAAACCCAGTGATTAAAAAACAAGGTTTGTGCCTCTTTTATAGAAGACATCAGTTTCTATCCTGTGTTCCTGGACCAGGCAAATGTTCCAAATTCTATTGCTACACATTCCACTCCACCTAGGTGCCATTTACCACCAGGAGGGACGTACAAGCTTTTTACAATGGTCAATTACATTCCCTTCAAACAGCCCCTAGAATTATGTCCTCCTTGCCTTTTCTTCCCCCCTGGAATAATCTCATTTACATCAGTAGTTTACATTCTCTTTGTTAGATAATGTTCATGAGCACTGTGAATGTTCACACACACACACACACACACACACACACATATGGATTTTTAATACTAACAAGATGTTAAGACCCAAGGGATAATTCTATCAGTAGCAACAGAAAGTAACACTCTAGGGTTGGTGAGATGGCTCAGTGGTCTAAAGCACCTACTTAGAACAAGCTAAGCTAAGCAAAAGCACAGGGACCATGGTTCAATCCCCAGCACCACATGCCAGCCAGCCCTGCCCCCTGGTGGGCTGAGCTGGCCACACACACACACACACAAAATAAATAAATAAATAAATTAATTAATTAATTTAAAAAAAAAGTGCCACTGTAGGACATTCGATATGTGCTAATAAGAGTCTTAAGTACTTTATATGTATTAGCTCACTTGAGCCCAACACATGCTTAAGGAGTCCTCTCAGGGAGGTAGCGTCCACCAATAGCAGAACTGTAATTGACACTTCCTGATTATCAGCCTCATTTTACCAAGGTAGAAGGTGAGGCACCAGCAAGTAGGTAGGGACCTTGCCCAACACTACAGGATGTGGCAACCATGAGGATCAAACAAATGAGAACAAATAGGTGCTATTCATTCAGAGAAAAGAGATTAGCTACTGTGGTTGCTGCAGGCTGTGGGTCAGAGATCTCTTTTAGTGTGTGGCTTGGATTTTCGGCTTGGATGTTCGATCTCTCCGCAGCTGGAGGCACAGCCAAGTGGGTGGCTGGGAAAGGCGTTTCTACAGTCCCTCGCTCTGTATGCTGCTGCCTGGGTGCGCAGCGCCACGTTCCCAGAGTAGCAGCCCAGTCCCGCTCACCCACCTACCCAGCACGCCAGCTCTTCGGGTTCCAGACCTGACTCTGCTTGGGAACTGCAATGCCTGCCCTGATACTCCACCACTCAGAGCGGAAGCTTCCCCTCCACATGCTGGGGAATGATGCGCACCTCACAGCCTCTTCTGAGGACTGTCATGTGACCCGTGCAGGTGCGCGGGGTCCGGTCTAGCAGCTAGAAAGCTCCAGGGTTGAGCTGTCAGCACCAGCACTATGATCCTCTTGGTACCCCTTCATCCTACAGGGCACCTGTTCAGCTCTGTTTTCTGTTTACTATAGTGCACAGCACAAGACTGACCCAAGGGCAGAGATCTCATTTTCCTACTTACAGTCAGCAGCACACGCCCAACACTGTCACTGTGTGTGTGACCATGTGCCTTCTCGTGTTGTGTGACCATGTGCCTCCTCATGTTCACTGCTCAGAACTGTCTCCAGCCCCAGCTTCTCATTCTATATTTTTATTAATTTTATTGAGAAGCAAATAGTAATGAGATAGTTTCAAAACAGGACAGCTGCAATAACGAATACACTGCATATTGTTGTCCAGCTTCTTGTTCTAGATCTCACCGGCTACACACCTCTGGATTCGCCGCATCTCACCAAACTGAGTCTGTTCCTACAGCTTGTTCCCCTCTCTGGGTCCTCTGTCTAGGGGACAGCCTTTCACACCCCTAATCAGGAGTGAAACTTGTAAAACTGTCCCTACATCCCACCTCATCTTCTGCCTCCTGGAGATTCCTCCCTACGGGCAGTTTCAGTTTTTAATGGATAGTCCATGATTCATTTAACCACTCTACCCATCAGGGTTTGCATGAAGGATGTTCAGTTTCTCTCTGTTTTCAGTAATACTAAATACCTTTTTTTTATTTTCTAGCATTTCCGGCACTGGGGATACTACTCAGGAGTTTTTTCATGCTCAGCACCCACCATCCTTCCACATTCTTAAACATGCAACAGTACTGCAAGTAGTTTTTATAAAACGCGTGTCTAGAAAGAGAAACCCTAAATCTCGCACGCTGCCACGCCACCCCGCGTGCACATACGCCCTCTCCACGCTTGCATGAGCACCGGTCTCCCTCCCGCCGTCCCTCCCGTTGCTGGAGGCCTCCATTCCTTTCCACCAGCTTGGCAGGTGAAGACTGGTGGTTTCCACTTGCATTTGCACACTCAGAAGGCAAGGCGCTTTCCTGGCTCGCAGGTTAGCTTCGCATTCGCCGTTCTAGGAGCTGCCCTTGGATACTTTTTGCCCATTTGGGCAGCAGGATAATGAGAACACAAGAGATCTTTATCTTTTCTGTATGTCTCTAAATGTTTTACTTTGCTGTCTCAAATATGTTGCTGTTGTTAATCAGAATGAGGGAAAAAAGGGAAGGTAAAAACACACATTCTCAAAGAATGAAGCAAGGGGCCAGGGAGATGGCTCAGTAGAATAAGCGCTTCCCTGGCAAGCACAAGGGCCTGAGTTCAACTCCCGGTTCCACAAAAAAA